AGAGTGTAGCCAAAAGAAAGAAGGGGGAATGCACTGTGACTCAGCTGTTCAGCTTCATTGAGTACCACATAATTCCAGATTGTCGAGAGTGGTAAAGAGCTGTTTTTCAACCAGTACATAAACTCATTCTATGGAAAATATTCCCCTTACCAATTTGACTACATGAATTGTGCATTCCCTAAGGCTTAAGAGGATATAAAACCGTATACTATAAATCAACGCAGTCAACACAGGCCTAGTTTGTGATTAATGATAATGGGCAACATTTACGTTCCACATCTGTTCCATTATTATCTGCGTTCCCATTCCTTAAACATAAATTCAGCTGTTTGTTTTAATGCACTCCCATTCAGAAGCAGAAGTGGCTTCGCAGCACCTGCTCATTCTGTCTGCATTCAGCATGACAGATGTTTCTTCGCATACCTGCAGAGCAACGGCCCTGACGTCCTCTTTCACTTTCATCCAGTATTCAATTTTATTTGTATTGCACTTTCTACAGCATTATTTTAATCACATTTCCATTAATCTGGATCCCTAATGAGCAACCTGAGGATGAATATGGCAGGAAAAATGTCCTAAGAACACAAGGCAGAAACACCTCACCTTCACGTTCCTGAACTGTAGGGTGCAGTAAAAAAGGAGCGTTCTGGCCTAAAAGTAGAGTTTAATGTTATTTGTCATGTTAGGTAGTGTTCTAAAGAATAGTATTGTATCCCTCAGCTTCAATGAAATGACAGAATTCATGATTTTATAGTTCAAGTTTTCCTTCATTGATGTTCTCTCACTACAGTACCAAGCTTGCTTTACACAAATATATCCTACAGCGACTGGGAATACCTGTGGTGTCCAACCAGCCTTGACTGCTAGCCTAGCTACTTATTTATAGGCTAATAAATACAGCTAAGTATTAAGTATTAGTGGAATTCTTATCTGGGTAACAAAATTGTAAAGAACAAATAGACATGAGACAAGTTTTAGGCTTTTTTAGCCAGAGAAATGAAGCCAAACTGACGTCAGCTGTCAAGATGAAACAGCTACCTTGCTAACTTTAGCTTTTAGCTTGGTGTCCTCTTCATCTGACAAGTAATTTCTCTCATCTGAGAAATACTTTCTTTTCATTGAACTGATGATTTGAAGACAACATGGTATCCAGCTTCCTAGCAGTGATGTTAGCCCATCCCAAAAATCCACCCCAAAGCAGTTTTTCAAAAGTTCACAATGTCATAAGAAGGGGTTTTTCTAGTCTTCCTGCTCTAGAGACTACTGTGGCAAAGCTGTAGAATGCAAGTAAGCATGTATAGAACAGTATAAATGGATATGTTTTTCATTTTGGCCAAAGAGTCACTTAAAAAATGGAAAACTCAAATGCTTGTAAACAAGTCAAGATTGTCTCTGTTGGATAGCTCCTTTGCTATAGGGCTCTGACAAAAGTTCTGATCGAAGTTCAACTTGAGATATGAAACTGCCGGAAGTCTATAGAGTCAAATCAAAAGTTCCTGATGGGAGCTTCCCTCATCCTATTTGAAAACTGGAATACCCTTCGAGACGGCGACAGGAATTCACTAGATAGCAAACAGAGAAAATCAAACGCATGACAAGACTCAAATAGAGAGCCCACCGCCCTCGATGCTGCACTGGATAATTCAGTTATGATACAAATACTGAGGTTAAACAGGGACACTTTATACAGTTAATACAGAAGATAGATCCATGAAATAAGCCAGTTTCATAGAATAAGCGCTGAAGGGCTATCAGAAAACTCTCAGAAAAAGATATGGTGGACTGTCAGTTGTTTCAGACATGCTGAATGTTGGATACAGTAAGGATTGGCTTTCAGCGAAATGGAAACCTATTTGCTCCAATTGCTTTATGTCACATTGTGTTGTCATAAAAACCCAGACATTATCAGCACAGTAAACAAGCATTTTTTTAGCTCTGTGCAACACAGCAACAACGGCATCCTGCCACGTTTTTCTCCCCACTGAAAGAAAAAATCCCTGTCCCTTAAAAAGCACAATGAACAGAATCCTCCGGAAGAAAATACAAAGATGGAGGCTGAATTAATGAGATTTGATCTCTCACCACAGTGTTTTTCCCACCAAAGAATTATACGAATCACACTGATGGCAGGTCCGTAATGACTGGGGTAAATTAATTGCCCCAAATTACCTCCTTGCCTTTCAGAAGCGTTTTTGATTAATATATTTGTTTGCACCTTTCTCTCTCTCTGTAATGACTCCATCGGTTTATGATTTGTAATGCGGTACTTAGCATTTGCTGCTTGAATTTGAGTCACAGTCACCGCATGAACATCAGTTTAAGATCGTTATTAGTGAATTGTCATTATAATAGAGCTCTTGCTGCTCACAATCATTCATCCTGAGTCTGTTCTTGGGTGACGTCAGCATTGGCGGGCATGGCGTTCCAGGGCTGTTTTTGGCAGAGTCCCCTGGGAAAGCATGGCACGATCTCTTCTCATAATAAATCTGTTATTACTGACAATAGAAGAAATGTGGCTTAGTCTACAATTCATCAAAGCGCTGATGCAAACAAAAGAGGCTGTATTGTTTTTTATAATCCCTGCTCTGGTGTTTTCTGATATTGCATTGCGTTAATCTTTCCTGTGTGTGTGTGTGATTATATATTAGTACTTATTAACATATATAAGTACTAATGTTTTTTTATACACACACACATATATATATATATATATATATATATATATGTATATATATATATATATATATATATATATATATATATAGTATACAAGTATATTTTTCCACACCTCCAAAGTTTTAGAAGTTGCATTTTCTTCTGACGATCCAAGTAATCCAAACACATTCAGTGATGTTGAAGTCTGGACTCTGGAGTCTTTGTTTGATAACCACATCTTGATCTTCTCAAAAAATGTGCTTGGGGTCATTAACTCTAGATATCTTTTATTGCTTTACTGCTACTTTCAAAGAGCTCAAGTTTAGACACGTCCATATCTCAGATGTCCAGTTTTGGTGTTCTTGTGTAAGGTTTCTTCTTTTTTGTTCTTCCTCTGTTTCATTTTCTCAGAAACGTCTTCTTGACAGTTATACCTCGTTTCAGACTCATAGAAACGATGGACAGAAACACGTGTGGATTTGTCCAAACCTGAAGCAAGAGTGGAGCTTATGTTTCTCCTCTCTCTCAAAGATGAAAACTTTTAAGTACCGTTTATCTGATGATAATATTGCTGTTCTCAAAGGTTTTGCACGGTTGTGAGGAGTCCCATTTTCTCTTAACCTTTCAATCATTTTTTGATTAAATGTTTTTAGAAATCCTTCACTCATTTTCCTTTGACTTTCTCTGTCCTTTTGCAAGTGAATTATCTTCTCAGAAATATCGCATTTAGCCATTGTAGATGCACATGAGAAAGGAATCTGAAGGCAGCTGAGTTTGGGTAGTTGTTTGTGTGAATGTTAGTGTCTGTTTGAAGGGGAGCATAATGTCTGTGAGATCTTTTGAACAGCTTTTGTTGCTGTAACTGGTTGGTTTTAAGATTAGAAGGATGGAAGAGTTAAAGTGGCAGTAGGTGCACAAAAGTAAAGAGGGGACAAAAAAGTACTGTGAGATTTGATATAATTGTGTATAATGTTGGAAGATTTTGTATCATTTTCTGCTAAATATGTTTCCTGTTTACTTTCTGACACTGTAAACTAAACACTTGTGCTTGGTTTTTGGTTTCTGCCATTTTGGTTAGAAATGAAATAATCAAAATTTGACTTTGGCACAGTACTAGGTATGTATAATAATTCATTATTTTAGAAATATGCCATTTATTTAAAGTTGCTAAAAATCAAACCTGCCATTACTTCAGTGAATTACAGTTGTATGCAAAAGTTTTGGCACCCTTGGTCAACTTACATTTTGTTGGTTTTCTACGTGAAAACAAGTTAACACATCCTCTACAGAGAACACACTTCTGCACATTTCAATGCATGATTACTGTTTATTTGCATTACATTTTTTGTGTTTTATTTATTCCCAATATTTTAAACTGAGCAAATAGAGTGCACTAAAATTTACAACTTTTGTATATACATATTTTTTTTTGTTGTTTTGTTTTTGCTTGCTTGTCTAGTAAGACGTCCAGCATTTTACATCCTTGTCCACTGAGCTGTCTAATAAGGCAGTAAGCTGGAAGCAGCCAGTCTGATCCAGTAGGAGTGAAGCGCTTCTTGCGTTTGATTACGCGAGCGTATAACAGCAGACCTGTCCTCTCTGTTAAGAGGGACAAAGCACACATCAGTCTAGAGGAATGAAGAGAAGGCTCAGGTGCTGCCCCCAACCCCCCCCCTTCTCTCTCTGTCTGTCTGTCTGTCTTTCTCTCTGACAGATGGAAAGGACTAATAGCATAATTAAGTAGCCATACTGACGGTTCCTGTTTACCGCCCCGTTGCTAAGCAGTGACATCAGCCAATCCGTCCTTCTCTCTCTCTAATCCTTTCCCCTCCTCTCCCTCCCTACCTGCCTCCTCCCCTTCTCTTCCTACCTCCCCGTGTCTCACTCCCTCTCTCTCTGTCCCTCTCCCTCTCCCTCTCTCTCTCCTTCTCTCTCTCTCTCTCTCCCTCTCCCTCTCTCTCTCCACTCATCCCAGTGGCTGGTGGACAGGCAGGCTCAGTATGTTGTAGCACGCACAGGCAGAAGGCATGGTTGCAGCGCACAGGAACGCTATGCTGCCTCGCTCCATGTAGCTGTCGCCGCTTACTTTTTCCTCACATACGCACACACACGCATGCACACGTGCACCAAGCCATCTCAGGAGTGCTTGCTGCTTTTTTTTCTTCTTGCTCTACAGGGACAGACCAACAAAGCAAAAACATAGGTGGAAAAGAAAATTTTGAAACTTTTTTCAGCTTTTTGGAAAAAAAAAAAATCTTAAAGTTCCTTTAGCCATTTTTGTTGGTTTGTTTTATTTTTTATTTTTATTATTTTATTCTTTCTTTGCCATTTTCCTGCCCGCCACCCCCACCTCCTTGCCGGAAAGGCAGGGTGGTCGGCGGCGTTTGCCCGCAGGGCTGCATGCATGACACAGCGCAAAGGCGAGAAGCCCACCATCAGCATCCAGGAGCACATGGCCATTGACGTGTGCCCGGGCCCCATTCAGCCCATCAAGCAGATCTCTGACTATTTCCCCCGCTACCCGCGGGGTCTCCCCCCCACAGCGCCACCACCGCTGGGCCTCAGCCGCACCGGATCCCCGCGCTCCTCCTCATCCTCCTCCGCCACCGCAGCAGGACGTACCCACGAGGGCCCCGCAGCCGCCTCCGACCCGGGCCGGGATGACGATGAGCTGGACCGAGCCTTTGGCGCTGCCTCTGCCCTGCCGGTGCCCAGCAAGAAGGAGGAAGAGCCGGACGTGGAGGGTTACGACTCAGACGACTCCAGTGAGTAGAGTGGTCAAACTGACCGCATGTTTTTCATGAGGTTTTTTTTATTGATTCTTACATTGTTTTGTTGCCTTATGTCTCTGCCTCTGTTTATGTTTCTCTCTCACTCTGTATCCGTCTCTCTCTCTCGCTCGCTCTCTCTCTCTCTCTTTTTCTCTTTCTTGTCAATGCAATTACAGGCTCTGTTTATGTTTCTCTCTCACTCTGTCTCTCTCTCTCTCTCTCTCTCTATACATATATATATGTATATACATACAATGTCTCTATCCTTTCTTTTCATGTCTGTCTGCCTGTCTCTCTCTCTCTCTCTATTTCTTGTCAATACAGTTATCGGCTTTGTTTATGTTTCATTCTCATTTTGTTTTATTATCTCTCTCTCTCTCTCTCTCTCTCTCTCTCTCTCTCTCTCTCCCTCCCTCTTTTTCCTGTCAATACGATTACTAGCTCTGTTTCCATTCGTCTCTTCCGCTCTCTCTTTCTCCATCACTCCTGTCTCCATGTCTAATCTGTCGATGCCTCTACCGTTCTCCTTGCTGCATGCTTTCGCTCCGCAAAGACAACTGTTGCTGTGCCGGCTCTGTGCCAGACACCACACAAACACATTCACAGTCTTGCTCGCTCTCGCAGAGATCATTACTCTCCCTCCTCCACACCTCCCCCTGTCATAATTTACCCTCCGTATAAGCCACCTCGCTATACGTTCCAAAACACGCGGCTACTGTCCTCATTTTAATTAGCCTAGATGAATCACGCTCCCAGTGGCTCCACTCAAACGTTGGAGCTTTGGCCACGGTAGGAAGTGCTTCTGCTTTGGACGCAGACGCTGTTTACATCAACACAGCGCAGGATAGGAGAAGCGCTAGCTCACACCAGTCTGTGCGTCTGTTTGGGTCTATACTCCACACACTGCCAAATCCCAAAGACTGTGCTATTTTTTTTCGCGATTACTCATTCACTCAGCCACCAGAAGTCTGTGTTGAACCGAATCTCAAAAGGAAACGTCCTTTTTTTTTAGTGTATCAAATGCTCTGTGACGAAATGTTACACAACACTTCTGGTCTTACATGTGAAGCCCTTTAGCTCTGACTATTCAGTGCAGATTGATCACATGTACTGTGCTGTTGAGTCCTCGTAATGCAGTTGTGGTGTAAATGCATGAAAGCAGCCAGTATTGTAGATAAAGTTTGTAGGCACCTGCTCATCCACCATTCCTCATGAAATCGATGATATTAATAGGAAGTTTGTTCCCCGCTTTTGCTGCAGTAACACCCTCTACTCTTCTGGGAATGCTTTACGCTAGATGTTGGAACTTTGCTGTGAGGAATTGCTTGCAGTCAGCCGTAAGAGCATGAGAGAGGGCAGGTACTGACCTTGGCTGATAAGTTTTGGTGCTTAGTTCTGGTGCTCCATCACTGTACAACAGTGGTTCTCAAACCAGTCCTCAGGGACCCCCACACGGACCAGTTTTTTGCAACACAAAGATTGTGCAAAAATGTGGACTGTCTGGAGGTCCCTGAGGACTGGCTTAAGAACCACTGTTCTGGAGAACACAGTTGAATTGCTCCACAGCAAAATACTGGGGGATTTATACTCCTTTAGCCAGTGTTTAACATTTAACATGGGCTCATGTGTGGCAGCTCCAGAGCGTCCCATTCCATTCCATTCTTTCAGAGATAGGAGAATATCTAGCACCACTCCTACTTAAGATCTAAAAAGTATCCGCAGATGTTCCTGTCCATCCTTCCACTGAGAGAAAAGAACTCTGAGTCTGACAGGATATGTAGCTGTCAAGAAGTCGTTACTGAAAAAAGGAAATAGATAAAAAAGAAAAGCTGCTGTTGTTCCCAGAACAATGGACTGACCATCCTAGAGTCCAGACCTCTACATCATCGAATGTGTTTGGGATTACTTGGATCATGAGATGCAGAAATGTAACCAGCTTCTAAGACTGAACTTTGGAAGCATGGAAAAATATCTCTGTGGATTTCTTTGAAACACTGAAAAACAAGTTTCCCCTAAAAAAGAATGGAAGCTGTAAAAAGGTTTTGTCCTGCTGCTGAAAATAAGTTTTAGACTGGATGTTCAGGGTCATCTCTGACTTTTTCAGTGTACTGTACATAAAGTTTGTCTACATATTGAACGATTTCTCTCTCCTTCTTTATCTTTCTCTCTCTCTCACAATCAAACCGTCCCAGGGTGAATGTGTGCGGGGAAGTACAAGTAGCTTAGAAGCAGCAGCGCTGGGGCTTGGCTCTAATCCTCTGCACCACTAGCATGGCATAGCACGATCTGTCCACTGACAGATGTTGACCTTTGGCCTTGGCGTAAGCCTCCAACTGCGAGAACAGTGGGATCATTACTTTGCGCTCAGACACAATCTCTCCCCAAAGATGCATCTGCGTTGAGTTGAAATGAGGAACGTGAGCAGTTCGTAGCTGCAAGCAGAACTTTGTGTTTCCTCTGTGTAACTGCACAACAGGCCCTTCATTACAGTAATCATTATGAATTGCTCTTACATGCCCATTACAGGTTGTATATCCCAGGTAAATCAAATTCCAAATCAGATTAGCCCCCAATGTGGCTGCCCCTTAACTCCTTTAATGAGGGTATATGATGTATGAGGTCTTTTATTCTGTGTGTGTGGGATTGGGCATGCATAGGGGAGTGTGTTTGTGTACTTGTGTGTGTCTTTTAAAGGACACATGGTCTTCATTTTTCCTCTATTTTCCTTTCTTCTGTTTTCCTTCTATCCCCAGCCACTGCAGTTTGGGCCCCCCAAGGCCCCTGCCAGTCAGACGCCACTGGGCACTGGCCCCACTGGCTTGGTTAGTAATGCAACCCTGACTCCTTTGAATTAAACAGGCTGTTTTTGTTAGTATATCTTTAATACATATACATGTAAATGACCTTCATTCTGATTGGCTTGCCTCATTCACAAAGCAGTCCAGGCAGAAATGTAGCAGTAACATCAATGTGACTGGGTGACTGACCTACGGCGATAAGATGATAAGTAAATGTGTGCATTGTGACATTACAGCCATGATGAGTTCAAGATGAGTAGCACACACACATACATACATACACTCTTACCTGCAGGCACATACAGAAAACAAGCACACTGTTCGTTCACCAGCACCACCTACCCACTCTGAATCACAACTAACCTATTAGCAGCAGAACAGACAGCCAAATGAAATTCTAATTTGCCTTGTGTGTTATGTCACATGCGAAATACAAATAAGTTCATTATACACATTTACGAGGCACTTAACAGGCTCTGAGGCCCACGTGGGATTTAGCAGAGCGGCTCCAAATCTAACCACTACTGAGATCTGGGTAAAGCAACAGATGGATTTCAGAGCAACTTCCGTCCAAACATTTGGCACTGAACAACTCTTATGTGGACAAACCATTTATGAGATTGAACGCAGGCTGCCAGAGTAAACTTCTGTTTCATGGCCTTGACTGCCATACGCAATCAGACAAAAGGCATGCTTAGTACAAAAGGATTACTTAATACAGTGTGGAACATTTTGGACAAACTATTTCACAGCTAGCCGCCTCTATGATCGTTACTTTGAAGATATTTACTTTGACAGAAAAAAATCCCCAAACTACTGCCTGCTTACTGTTATTTTATTACTATGCTCACCAATGTCTTGCTATTTTGCTACTACACTCAACAATATTGTTATTTAGCTACTGCATTCAACAATGCCTTGTTGTTTTAATACTCCACTTACCAGTGTTTTAGAAAATCAAGTACCATATAAAACCAAAAATGACATCAGTTTTATTGAGAACATTTGTGTCTTGCTTTTGAACATATCATGCAAATTAAATGTGTTTTAATGTTTTGATATTTTAATGCTAAAATCTAATATTCACAAATGCTCCAAAACTGACATTTCACAATTCTCACCTGCATTTGCCATTTAGACCAGTGGTTCTCAAACCATTATTCAGGCCTCCCAGATGGTCCACATCCCTATTTGTTGAGAACCACTGATTTATACCACCTTATTTGCCACACCCCTACCTCACTCCCTCACCCCTAGTGTCCATTATTGACACATTTTTGATTTTGACCGGATAAAGTGTAACGCTGTCTACTTTTTGATGAATACAATGGGCTCTATACTTTATGGAGTACTATTTTGGCATCCACTGTAGGGGAGAAATATGCCATTTTGGACGTAGTCATGGTTTCTTAGTAGCAGAGGAAAGATAGATTCATCTGCAAGTAGTGATTAAATAACTGGTCATAATGGTGAATAAATTAATGTCTAGTTTTTAGGGCTCTCAAAAGATTAAAATAAATAATCATGATCAGTCACATTATTTTGTGTAGATAATTTAGTAATCACATTTTACAAGATATTTGATGATAATTTTTCTCAGAATGTTTCAGTAATTCATAAAAAAGCATTATTTTCATCATATGATTGCTGCGCTCACCTGTACATATAAATCAGGTGATTTCCACAGGGTACATGCTGACATCCAGTGAGAGCAGCTGCGGCATGTTCCAACTAATAGGTGTAGTACATATTGTATTGTAGCTGTCAGAACAAAACCTTGTATCTCCCACCTAAATATAGCAGATGTTCTTTACACTGTGTGAAGGTCTCATTATGAATTGGACAATAGAAATGGTCTAAAATTGCACACAATAAAACAATTTACATTAGCATAAATGTTAATAATGCTACATTAGCATGAAAGTTAATAATATCCTTTCCTTCTCCTAAAAAGTTAACCTTTTGGAGATACAAGATTTCTGTTCGAATGTGATTGCAGCCTCTTGGTCTTGTTCATACAGCTCATGCATTCGTACTTAAGGTTCTCGAGGGGAATGGTAGCTTTTCAGTTTGCTCTTGCTTTTGTTAGTTTGCTGCTCATTGAGTTATTTCTGGTCTTCCATGAGCACTGCCCAGCATAGTCTGCTGAAAGTCATAACAACACACAGGATGTAAGCAGCTGGGCTTCAGCCTGCA